TGTGTGTGTGTGTGTGTGTGTGTGTATGTGCATGAGACAGCAAGGGAAAGATCACATTCTGTATTGGTTTAACCCCCACTCTGCTCTGTGTATCGTATTACAGAGGATGCATCACGTCGTACAGGCATGTGGTACGTTCACCACGGTGTGTGTGTCATATTTATTTGTGTTATACTGTTGCAACATACTGTAATAAGCATTCCTGTTGGCTATTTCTCTTCTGTATGTACCCTCCTTGTTCTATCGATCTATCTATTCATGTTCCTCCTCTGTGATCACGTTTATTGTAATCATACTAAGAAGAGGCAGCAGCTTTAGTTGTGTTGTCAGACGCCTCAGATCAGAGGGGTGAACGACGGAGTGAGTTCCACACAGTCTGTCTTTGAGCAATCTGGCCCAACAAAAGCTAAAGCCCCAATCAGAGATAGCGGGTACCACGATGGTGGTTATTAGCTTTCTTTGCTAACCTTGACTTTCTTCATCAGGCTCTGTGTTCGTTCTCATAAAAAAGGAGTGTTTGGCATTGGCGTGGGAAGTGTGGGGGTTGGGGGGGCTTTTTTTCTAAAGGCCTATAGTTTACCGTGATGGAAATTTAAAATATATATATAATTAGAATATGTTTTCTGTTGTCTCATATGAACTCCGTGTGATGAATGCATATCGTTGTCTCCTCGCTTGTCTCCTGTATGAAATGTCTGTCTTCACTGTCCTGCATGATTATAAATTATAGTAACCTGGCTCTGGTCATCCATTCACTGCCTCACTCCCTCTCACAGTTCTCATGCATTAGCTCCGTGTTGTTGACTGTGTAGTTGCTGTGACGGCTTTGACATACAGCGTTGAGGTTTGCGCTTCTACAATCAGGGTTTTCGTTGCCATTGAAGCAGGTTTTTTATGCTGCGTAAAAACAACATGGAGAGCGTCAGGGCAAGCCGAAGCATGAGACGGCACAGGGGAGGGGGATGAGAATGAGGGTGCTGAAATTCATGGATACAGTGTTCACGTCTCGCAAAAGCTGGACATAATATGGCTGATAACAGCGAATCATCTACCAGTCATTCTCTTAGAATGCCGGGGCACAACTGGCTGTTTACTAATGCGCCATGATGAGCACTGATAAACCAATCTCTTGTTCTTTGATTTACAGAATATGATGTTACAGATCAAAAAAGAGTTACATGATCAAAGAAGGCTGTGTTACTTGTAAATAATAAAGGAATTATTCAAAGTTTTATCGTGGTAAAATTGCATGGTTTTACATCAAAAACGGTTGCACAGCACTTAAGCCCTCTAAAAACCCAAGGAGACCTGGAAAATGGTGTAAAATGTTGGTAATAACTATTGAATATAAATTATCCAGGCCATTCAAATTAAAGCAAAAAACATGAATGTAGTGCAGCTTTTAGTATAATGTAATTATATGGACTGACTTTCTCAAGCACCCCCAACTCTGACTGACCTCCAGTGTACCAGCAGACAGCTTACACTGTCCCATACTGAAGGATACGTGGAAATGACTTTAGTTTTTGGCTTCATTAAAGTAAAATGTATTTCATTTGATTTAATTGCATATTATCTGTGATAAATATCAATTGACTAATCAACTTTCTATTCAGAGTTCTATTATCTGCAATACCGGCAGTGTAAAACAGACTTCAGCCAATCAGGACCAAGCAAAAAACATCATCCATAGTGCTTAAGTATGAAGTCACTGTGCCTTCATCATTATTTTCATGTATGAATGATATGCTGTGTAAAATGTAAAGCGTTAATATTACCTGAAGCAAACAGGAAAACAATTACACTTGCAACATATAGAATTCTTGATCAGATTTTCACCAACTGAATGCATGAAGGTTCCCGTGACGATGCATTGCCTTCACTTTACGCTGCTGTAACTGCACGGCGTCGTTCGGTGGTATTACTAATGTAATGTTACGGCTCAACAAGCTTTTATGTAACGTATTCTGCAAGAATGGTGACGCTGTTTCCAAAGGAGCTGATTAGTGAAAGATGCTTTTCAGAGCCGACTTCAATCCAAATCTCTGAACATAACCTGGTTATACTTCCTCGTTCAAGATTACGTGCATAACATATGAAATCATTTCATATGATTTCTATGAATTACGTCACATTATGGTTTGTTGTTATAGCTACAAATGCTGGATGAGACTACTGATCTGGAGCAAATATCTAGAGTGAGTTGTGTGATGCTTGCTTGTGTCTGTTCTGCATCAGTTAGCTGTGGTTGGCCTGTGCTGGCTTCAAGGTGTCAGAGTAGACTGCAGGCCCTAAACCAGATGTTTGTTGGTTTTTTACGGCCTATGACCTTGACATTCAACACCTTTAGGGGCGACGGTGACCGGAAGGTCAACGGTTCGATCCTCGACTGGGACGTGTCACGTGTCGAAGTGTACCGGAGCAATACACTGAACCCCAGGCTCCCCGGGTGCCTGTCATTGGCAGCCCACTGCTCCCTATATACAGGGATGGGTCAAATGCAGAGACAAATTTCCCCCTTAACGGGATCAATATAGTATAATAAATTTTAAAAAATGTCATAGCTGATGCGTTGTCTTATGTGAACTGCCATTGTGATCTCCGGGCCTTTATAAGTCTGTTTGACCTGCTGTGCCTGTTTGTGTGCTTCTCAGGTATCAGGAAGAAGCATGCCGAGGAGGCAGGGCAGGACAATGGTCACAGAGCGATACATACTTTGTATTTAGGGCCCGAGCGACCGACAACTTCGGGCCAGCGAAGGCCCTATTGATATTGTAAGGGGTATTATTATTAGGGCCCGAGTAACCGACGTCGGGCCAGCGAGGCCCTATTGAAACTGTCATGTTTCTTATTATTATGATTCTTATTTTTGTCGGAATGGAGCTTGTAGGGGTACTTGCTATGCATGAAAACTCACCAATTTTGCACTCATATCAGGTCTGGTGGAGAAACTCTGCTGCCAAAATTTGTATATTTGTGTGTAAAAAAAATGGCTCTCTAGCACCCCCTACAGCTCGGACCTGCGGCAACCCTCGGCCAGTTTGTCCGATTGACTTGAAATTTGACACACATGTCCACTTGAGCTGGATCTACAAAAAAGCCAATCAGACCCCTAAGCTCCGCCTACTTAGATTTTACGCCATTTTGAATTGAGTGTAAAACACATTTTTGCAAGCTCCTCCTACATCCTGGCTCCGATTGCTACCAAATCTGCGGTGGATCATTATTGGATCTAGATCATCAAAAGCTTTTTGATAGCTCTTAGCATTTACAATATATGGACCAATAAACTTCTTAGGGGCGTGGCTTAATATCAATACACATAACTTCTCAACCGTTTGTCCTAAAATTACAATATCTGCAGCATATGTGCACATCGCATCCTGTAACACACCCTGAGAATTATTTTGCATTCAACCACTATGGGGCGGTACAGTAAACCCGTGAAGTTGTGCTTTTTGTCCGTTTTTGCATTTTTCAGCCTTCCTACTTTAACGAACTCCTCCTAGAGAATTTATGCGATCAACTTCTCCTTTGGTCAGGATGTTCTTAAGACCTTTGTGATTAAAAGTTATCAAAATCCTGCGCTTTCATCGAAGAAACTTGACGTGGCGTGGCGGCCATTTTACCTCATTGTTTATGAAAAAATAAGTTGTTATAACTCCAAGGTACATTATCCAATCCGCACAAAACTTCTTATCCATGATGCTACTTCAAGTTTGAACATACTTCAATTGAAAAAAACTCAATAACTCATAGCGCCGCCTACTGGCTAAAGGAAATGTCAAATTTTATACTTTTATTTATTCCTCCTAGCCAGGTGACCTGACGAGTCTTAAATTTGGTAAGGATAGCCTTAAGACATTGATGATAAATCCGAGAATATTGTGCGTTTTCGTTCAACGCTGTTGCCGTGGCGACGCATTGTTCACCATGAAAAACGAAGCTGATGGTTTTACTAACTTGGGATGCTCAAAAACGCATGCAACTTTTTACATGTGTCAAAGGTCATTGGAAGAAATATTGTATATGATTTTTTTAATCGTCCGTTTTAAATTGCCTCTATAGCGCCCCCTACAATATTTCAAAAGAGCAGCCCCAGCGCTACCTTTCAGCTACATGTATGAAAGTTGGTAGGCAGATGTATCCTGTGGAGACTTACAAATAAGTCTCTTGGGACCATGCTCTAAACCCAACCGGAAGTTGGCCATTTTGATTTGTGTGTCATTTTTCCATCGATTTTGGCCTATTTCTAGACACTATACTTTAACGAACTCCTCCTAGGGACTTCATCAGATCCTGTTTAAATTTTGTCAGTACAATCTCAAGACAGTTGTGATTAAAAGTTATCAAAAGCTTTACGTTTGACTGAATCGTTTAGCCGTAGCGGGCGGCTACTTTACGTGATTCCCCATGAAAAAAGCTGATGTAACTCAGCTGGACATGTTCCAAACAGTCTCAAACTTCACATGCTTGATAACACTCATGGCCTGAGGATGTCTACAAGATTATTTTCACTAATACTCACAGCGCAACCTGCTGGCGAAAGGAAATCTGGATTTTGTGATAAACACCTCCGATTTACATGACTTTTACACCATGTGGATTACATTTGACACAGAGCTACATGATTTATGTTTGCAGGCGTTCTGTAGCGCCAGGCAGCGGATACAGGAAGCGTCGGACTATTTGCAAAGCATCATTTCCAGCATCAGGCGGTCCACGCGGATTAAAAACATCTCGCTCGTGGACGCGCCGTCCGACGGTCGCGGACGTTCTCGGACGCGCAGGCCGGAGTCCCGCCGGCACGCCCGACGCGCTGCAGATTGCGAGGGCCCGTTCATCGCTGTTCGCAGCTTTAATTTGTTTTTGGTTTTCCGGGAAACACAAGCCAGATCTGGAGCGCCTCACACCACATGAACACTGCTAATGTCACTGACTAACTCACAACACCTCCAAAGTGACTTCTCACTTTATATTCTTTGTTATAATAAATCGTTGACATGATTTGCCGTTTTTGGTCTTGACAGTTCTGATTGATCAGTTTTGAGTAATAACATTAGATTCCTACAAGACATCCTCCTTCATCAGTGTTTGCATTTGGCTGGATCGTCACCACAGATGACACCATATGTCATCTGTGGGAGCCAGCGCAGTGAAAAAGAAACCTGTCCAAAAGCAGCGTCAGTGTGTGTCCGTGTCTGCTGTTTGCCAACTGTGCTCTGTAGGGACAACTGCAGACACAGACTGTGTGTATCTGCTGGGTTTGTTGGGACATGCTGCACTGATCCCTGACCAGCCCGCAGTATCAAATTAGCAACACTCAACACAGACTTACTGTAACTTAACACACACCAACTCTCTCACTTTTTCTCCATCTCACTCGCTCACACACACACACACACACACACACACGCACACACACACACACACACACACACACACACACACACACACACACACTCAGTCATCATTCTCTCTCTCGCTGACTTTCCCAGCCAACTTCTCTGTTGTGTTGCTAGGCTACAAACTAGTTGAAGGAGTGGGCGTAGTGTGGTGACACACCCCTGTTAGAACACGCAAGTGTGCGCACACACACACACACACTATAGACACAGAAAACCAAATTCTACCCTCACTAGTCATTACAAATCTTTCATTATTATATCAACTAGAGTGATTACTGTTATTTTCATTATAGATCAACCTATTGACTATTTTTACAATGGTGTACAAATTGTGAAAAGCTAGGAGAATGTTTATGATTTGATAAATTACTTTATATTCTTGGATTATTAAAACTGTTACTTATTCATTTTCAGTCAATCGATTAACGGACCAATCACTTCAGCTCCAATTATTATTCTTTATTTGTCATTAAAAACAGAATAGATGGACATAGACTAAATTATTTAGAGCTCAAAGGATTAGTCAATTCATTGATTACTTAACCATCTTTTCTTCATTAAGGTCAATGTAAATGAAAAACAATTTGTCAATGTTCTTCCGGGTCAGTTAAGCACCATGGAAACAACCAGAACAATTGAGCGGCGGCAGCTCCGGATATGGGCCTTCACTTAGAAGCTGTAGCAACTTTAAACCAGCAGGGAGTCAGGGGAGTCAGGGCGGTCCAGGATCAGTGACCTCTCTGCTGCTGCCGTTACGCAGGTTAGACCCAGCTTTGACCTGCTGAATTTGAGTTACTACATCTGCTAACTGAAGGTCCATCTCCGGAAGCTTGCGCCTGTTCTCCTCCCGGCCAAGTAGCCTCCTAGGAGGAGAGACCGCGGGGGTGCGCTAGCTAGTGAATCTCGCAGAATCTTCCAAAAATGTATATGTATATATTAGTGCTGGGCAAGTTAACGCATTAATTTCGCGTTAATGCATTCATTCATTCAACGCCGACAATTATTTTATCGCGCGTTAACGCATTTTTTAAATTTATTATAATTTTAATTTTTTGAAAGACAAGAGACAATACATATACATAACAACAAGAGGATGACAAGAACAGTGGGATAAAAGCCAGCAAACATCCTATAGTCAGTTGTGTATGTGTGTGTGTGTGTGTGAACGTGTATGTCCTTGAGCCTTTTGAGATGGGAAAAAAATAAATAATAATAATTAAAAAACAACAACAAAAAAAAACAGGTAAGTATTATTAATTTATTATTATTGTAACAGACTGTCTCATGTTTATCGTTTTGTATTGGAGATATGATGTCCCTTCAGGGTTGTCGTAGAGAAAAGGCGACTTCCGCTTCTGGTTGAGGGGGGGGGGGGGCAGAAATAAAGAGAGAAGCTGCACCAGCTGTTGCTCTCCCTGGAGACTACTGGACATCGCTGCGGTAAAGTCAGCAGACACTCAGATCTCCGTGGTCAACTCAGCAGACACTTACATTTTAGTGCACCTATATGCTGACATTCACGGTAAACGCATTTAAACGGCACAGATTGGGAGCAAGCGAAGGACTTTGAAAGTTAGCGGATAGATTAACGTGAGACAACATCCGGTTTCTTCAGACGAACATCCGGTTTTCAGAATAAAATGCCAACAAAGTATGAATTATATTCACATTAAGTATAAAACATGCTACCTGCATCTCATGAACCAAATGTTATTGCCCTTTTGTTCATATAGCAGTACTTTTAAAATAAAAGTGCGCAATACACTACTGTTGAATTCATTATTGAACTTTGCCATAACAATGCGATTAATTGCAAAGAATCCATGCGATTAATCGCGATTAAATATTTGAATCGTTGCCCAGCACTAGTATATATGTATATACATATATATATAAACAATGACAATAATCAGAAGTTGCAGTTCTGTACATGGACCTATTAGAGATTCTAGTCAATCCTTGCCTACTTTAACTCCATTCATCCATATATGGATTTACTCTATCAGCTTTCCATCCATTCATTCAGCCATTATAATCCCATCATCCATTCACCAATCAATTCATCCAGGAGTCCATCCCAGCCAGGATTACAGTCCAGAATAAAATGTGTTTTGACGGTTTGATGGAAGTACTTTCATTCATTTGGCCTCCTTCTGTCTGAGATGTGCTGCACTGCAGTAATTGTTGCATTTTTTTTAAATTCAGTCTACTTGTGTAGTACTAATGCATGAGTGAAACAGAATTCATTCAGTTTTTGTGATCAAAACATTGTGTCAGCAGGTTAGTGATGACGGTGTAGAAATCAGACGGATGATTTGGACACAGTTTGCAGAAACACCACTCACGTGGTGGTGTTAATGTGTGACTCCACCCAAGAGTACAATGTCATCCCTCCTTCCACTCCTTCTCTCAATCATGTATCCACTCTACAAATCCATTCATCCAGCAAGCCAGCAGTCTATTCACCCATTCATGTATCCACTCATCCACCCAACCATTCCTTCCATCTGTCTTTTCATAAATGTGCTCTCATCCATTCATCCAGCTAGCCATCTCCTCCTCCATTATTCATCCATCAACCAATCTACCGTTTTTACAGTTCAACAAGCATTCTTCCATCCAGGCCTGCTCACCTTCAGTGGTGCTGGACTGTAGTCTCTGGCAGAGCCCCTCTGTGTCTCCATAGCTCTCCTGGATCTTCTGCAGGGCATCGCTCCCTCGGAGCTCCATCAGCTCCGTGAGCTCCGTCACCGTGGCCCCAAAGTCTCCCCCTGCGAGGCTGCCGTCTGCCCTTCCTCCTCCGCTCACGCCTCGCGACCCTTTGGGATAAAACTCCACTGCGCTGTTTGCCATTTCACCCATAGTGGCTGTTGTTGACATGTCAGTAAGGTTCTTTTTGTGTTTTGTTCCTCCTCTCGGCCTGTAGTCTGTTCTCCACTCAGTTCCCCTTCCGTTTGGTTGGTGGAGGGTTGTTCATGTGCTCAACAGTGAGAATCTTGGTTTGGTCTTGATTTCTTATTTAAAAATGTGTAATCATAATCACACCTAAACCCTTTTTTTTATTTCATTTAAGGGCAATGAAGGGGCATTGGTTATGTGTTTTTTGTTCACCTCACTATCTTGGCCTAGCCTCCCACTGCTCCTTTAATTCTCCATAACTGGAGGAGGAGGAGGGTGAGGGGGATCAAGGACAGCAAGCAGGGGCACTTCAGAAGTGTGAGGTCTGAAGGAATCCAGCTTTCTTTTCCTCCGACTCCTCTGCGACTCCGCTCTTTCCTCGTTTCTGTCCCCCTCCCTCCAGGGTCACGGCCAGTCCATGGACAGATGGACGGACGGGCTGACAGACTCACAGACGCGGACAGAGGGGTGATGGACGGGTGGAGAGAGGGGCGAGCAAGGCAAAGGCGGGTGATAAACCGGACACAGTAAGTGGATCCAGTTCAGCGGTAGCTATTGCTGCACCACCAGGACCTAAGAGAGAGCAAGAAGAGATACAACATTACCACCATCATTAAGCTGAGACTCAATTCAGTTGTGAAATGTGTACATTTGATTCAGTGGCTAACATCACTACATCAATCTTAATCTAAACAAATACACATAGTAAGTATACATTCATGGGGTACAAACATGAAACGTTAATTATCTATTAAGGTAAGATCATAATTTAATGCTTGTTGGAAGCGGGAGGCCTTTCGGAATGCGTGCCTGTTTGAAGCGGACTGGAAGTGCTGCTTGCAGCACTCTCGAGAACCGCTCATCCCTCGTTGTCTGCAGGTAAGTGAAGAAGAGTTTAGTTGTAACGTTAGTGTACACAGCATCTAGCAGCAAAAGTGAACTGCAGTCAATGAGCCTCGGCCTGTCTGCTGTAGACGACATGCTCCACTCATTCCATAGAGCCCTGAAGCCCCGCCCCCGCTGCTACACACCACACTATCGCTTGTTCATTTATAATGTATTAATATTGAATGTGTCACGTGTCCAAATTGCACTAACTTTGACACTGCATGTCCTTGTGTCCCAAACAATACACCTGCCAAGTGTGAAGTAGATTGGATGGACGGTTCTGGAGATATGCGACACACACACACACACACACACACACACACACAGATAGCTAGCTTCATAGACAATCACAGCCCTGTAAGTGAACCCAAACCTCTCCTCACTTTTGTCCACACATGTATCCATGTGTGGATACATGTGTTTCAAAAAATGCTGACTCATTTCCAGGTTCTGGGACTCACTCCTTCAGCCCTCTACGAAAGAAAGGGCTGTGACATCACCAGATATGCAACATGTGTGAACGTTTCAACATGTGCAACCTTTGTCTCACTTCATGCAATGTTTAAACCTGCATTCATTGATATGTTTGGTTACTTTGGGGGCAGCACAACACGCTGTCATCACTGACATATTATAACAACATGAAGTGGATATGGCTAACATGCTAGCAAACAGTAACATTGACACATCCAGCTAACAATAGGTAACAATAGTCAAATGTTTGTCCAATGGTCACTCCACCAACTGAATATTAGCGTTTCATTTCAGCGAATATTTGAAGCTTCGGTTTGAAATCCAAACACCTGACAACAAACGAATATCCAGAGAGAGGAACATTTAGTCCAGCCCTAAAACATATCTGTCTCTTTGGCTGCTAAATGCTCCATTATGTTCACCAACTAGTCTCTCGCTGTGTTCTGACTGTAATGCTGGTAGGTAGAGTACATTACATTTGTTTTTTTTGTTTTTAGCTGAAAACACCTGCCTGCTGCATCTGCAAACAACTCTGTTGAGAACCAAAACGCCAAAACAGTAAATGCCGTAAAACCAAATTAATAAATTAAAAGTCACTCAAATGCTCTGAAGAGGTCAAAGGAGCTGTAGAGTTGACATTCATCTATCAGCTTTAAATATTTAACAAAAAAAGTCCAAACAAAGTCTTGGACCGAGGTTGCATCATTGCATTCCACCAAACCTGTTTTCAACTAGCTCCAAAAATCAAGCAATGTTGTGAATGTTCTTTTTGCTTTCATCCACTAAGAACTAAAACCAAAGAAATAGAGATATTACATTTCTTTCTTTCCCTTTAGGATGGAATGTTTCTATATATAAGAAACCCCATGGTGGTCCATCTCTCCCTATCCTGACTGTCTGTGGCTCTCAGCTCCAAGCCCATTGCTTCCTACTCAAGATTTCAATCTTTAAAAACACCTCATAAATATATGGCTTCATTTCAAAAATGGCTCAACTATTTCCTTAATCAACTTGGCTCTGACTTTTTTTTCAACCATTACTCAAACAGGAGCTTTTGCTGCTCTAGTTATAATTTCTAGCAATGTGTTTTTAATACTTCCTGGACAACAATGGAGCACTATGGCACAGTTCATTGTTGGTTTTGTTTTTTCCAAGAAAAATAAAGATGATTACCATCATCCTCGCGTAGGTTAACCCAGGTAATGTTACCTTAAACCAGGTGTGTCCAATCCATCCACTTAGTCACAAAGCATGCTGTGCCCGGACACATCCACGTGCCTCATAGGTGCGATTGATTCAGGGTCACTTTGTCCAGTCTAATAAAAAGCTTGTGACGCCCGAAAGAGGGAGATGCACTGAAGTGAACTGCTCTTGTTGAATCCCCTGAAAAACAATTTCCTAATCACTGAATTAACATTTCAACCCATCTCTAACTCTGATTTAATTCAAATACATCTCACATCGATGGCGTTCCACTAGAACGGCAACTTCAGCCTCACCACGTGGGACCAGGCTTCACCCCACATGAGCAATTAGCTCTGCGTGTAACCAAATATCCTCAGCATCACACATGACACAACATATCCTAAATGCCCGGTCCTATTTTACATATGGATGAGCATTAAGAAATGAAGAGAATCTCATCATGAATTCCTTTTTCTCCTCCCTCTTCTCCACTCTTCACTCTCCCTCAGCACCCTCTGTCTCTTGCATCCTCCCTTTTTTCCTCTCTGCCCTGCCATGGCTCTATCCTGACTGAGAGTGTTAGTTTATGACTGAGTCACCCTGCTCTGCCTTTGAAGCTTCCTCTCACTCCATCTTTTCTTATTTGCCTACCCTCCCATCTATCTATCTATATCTATCTCTATCTATCTGTCTACTCTATCTAAACGGGTTTACTTGGTTTGTCTCATTGCTTGTTATTATTTTACCATTCGCTTTCTCCCTCCTGACTCCCTCATTTTGTCGCTATCCCTGTCTATCTGCTTCCTGCTACTGCAATCATTTATTTACTCAGCCAGTCGTACATTTTCTTCCCAGCCCGATCTCTTACTCACTGATACTGTCTGATTTTATAACGCTCACGCAAGAAAAAAAGCTCTTCTGTTCAGCCTCCCAACTACGTATTGCAACTAACTCTGACTGTGTCTCTCTGTTTGTCTCAGAGCTTTGATATGCACAGTGCACGTGTGTGTGCACACACATGTGAGGCTGCATTACATAAATTGCAAAAAAAAAACTTTGTTACACAATTGGTTATGCCTTTTTAACTTTTACACACAAACACACACACAAATACAGTTCAGCCACAGGATACAAGCATTACAAATGTGCAATACACAAAAAGACACCAACAGCCCAGAGACATCCCTTACATGATCACTGCCATGACGCAAACACACAGATGTGTCATACAGTGCTTTCAAAATGAAAGTAAGAGAGGATGGGGCGGCTGTACTGGCTGAAAATGTGTTTGAACATGAAAAGAGTCAGACAAAAGGTCACCACAATCCTCAGCGCCTGCCCATTTATCCTGAATGCTAGTCCTGCTTCTCTGCACACCATCCCTCAGGGGGGGGTCGCAGAAATTTGATTTTTCTTTTTTTTTGTTGCAAAAGAAAGTGGCCGTTCTTTTCCCTCGAGTATTTCCTCTTTATCGCAGAGGCAAGAAAGTTGAGGAGGATACAGAGTGGGGACACAAGGGAGACAAGGTCCTCACGGGATTTGATTCTAAGCCAGCTGGGCCTCACACGCTTTGTGACTGTGTGTGAGCTGGATGGGGCAACCCGGGCTACAAACACAATATATGACTTAACAAGTAAGTATGCATCCGTGCGTTCTTGTCTGAACTCTATATGCACATAATTGATGTGTGTGAACTTGTCAGCATTCCGTCCGCGGTCCACCTGTGCACCTGCAGTTCCTACTTTTCGGCAGGCATCTGAAGGGTCACCTCTGGCGGAGGCACTTTCATCTGGGCTGCTACCTGCCGTCGCTGGCTCACTGCCAGCCACACACTTCTGTAAATGCCCAGCGCGAATAGCACACTTAGAAGTGTGGAGCCAACAGGGCACAGATATCTGCATTAACTGTGGAGCACATTAAAGCAAGTGGATGATGCTGACGATGACGAGGATGATGATGGTGACAGCTTGGCAAAGGGAGGGGTGTGTAATTGGACTTGGAACAGAACGAGAGAAAGAAAGAAAGTCCCAGTTGAGACTGGCCGATGTCCACTCTGAGTGTCTATCTCACACACATGCAAAGACTCACACTCACAGAGTCCCATGTCTGTCTCACATGAGCCACTATCCACCTCCACCCAAGGCTACACACACATACAGACATACACGCACACACACACACACACACACAATACTGGCATTTGTCAGCATACTGTGCACTTCGGTGCAGGAATGGCCCCATGAAACAGTGCTTCCCACACAAAACGACCTTTCCTGGTCACCTTCAGACGTGTCGGAGCTTCATCCCTCTGCTCATCCTCATCCTCATCACATATATGGCAACAGGAGGAGGTGCCGATTAGTGCTGAGAACTACACTACACTGTAGGCCGACTAAAAAAATCAAGGAGAAAGAGAGTGGACCTATGGTGCGCCACATGCCTACCCTATGTCCCTCCGCAAGGTTACCGGCCCGGTCCAACTCAAACCGACCCTGAGCAGGACGATTTATGAAGGTCCCCCCGGCTACAGATCATTACCAGATCGAATCGGCACCCCCGCAGCTCAGCGCTGCAGGTGCGACGCGCCGTAACCGAGACAAACAACGCAATTGATACCCAATAGCTTATAGCATGGTGCATACTGGCGCCCGGGAACACCAAGAGAGCGGCAGCCCTTCATCAATTGACACGGGACACGATCGGATGGATGGATGGATGGATGGATGGATATCATTAGCCCTACACAAGCGCATACACGCGCGCCCACGCATCCACACATACTCCCTCATAATGTCATAGCGCTGTTTGCCAGGAGAATTATGGTATGCCCTACTGTGTAGGCTATTATTATAGCTGTTTAAGGCCTGTGGGGAGACATGCCACATTAGGCCTTGTTTCACACTCTGCAAGTCCGTTAAAAACATCCATGCTACATGCTACTATTGAATCACGGCGCATCTTCACTTATAAAAATCGGCGCTTGGGCGCCCGGGGTAAATAACAGTCACGCACGCGGGCACGCGGGCACGCACGGACTCACCGACTCACCGTGCAGGCCGAGCTCAAGGACATCAGCATCAGCGCGCGAGCGGGGAGGCAGAGTCCCCGTTAATCTGCGTGTGCGTGGAGCGGAGAATGTCCCAAGCCGGATGAGAGTAGCTATACAGGGGGGGGGGGGGGGGGGG